TTTTATTGTCGCCCTTTCTGTTACATGGGATGTACACATCAGGTGTTAAAAGGTACAATACATTCTACAACTGAGCACCACTTTCTGTATGGCAACAGCTTTCAAAGGACCAGCTACTAAGTAAAATTAAAGACTATGGTGAATTTTACTCATCTTCAGAGTTTTTTTTTTAATATGCAGTAGTCATTTTGTTTTCTTTCTACTGTAGATAATCTCACCTTTGCAAGGCAGAAGCAAGCTGACATTCTTACTCGGTAGAAACACTGCTCTTGTTCTAATATGTCAGTGAGTGCAAGCCGAGACGCTGGAGTAGGGAACTTTTCCAAGGCCAAAATGGATTCCTGCTGTGCAACAACATCCCTCTCATAGCGGAGCTGATACTGCCACATAAAATCAGCTTGCTCAAATTCTACTTTCCTCAATACTGCCATATCTGGGTCTATCCTTATCCACAGCAAAGGGGAATCAGCGCTGAAAGAAAATACAATTTTCTTTGTTATTCATTTTATTTTTTCAATTTTAGAGATCTATAAAATAAAAACAAAGGATTTATGAACCAAATTCTCTTCTACATGTAGTATTCAAGACTGCCTGGGTTTTACTGTATTCATTTTATTTTTAATCACACCGACAACTTTCTCATTATGTTTAATATACTTCAACTTTCTCACAATATCTAATCTATATCAATCTTGCTGAAAAGATCTCCAAAGATAAGAAGATAGTTGTCACAGGGCCAGCCCCGTGGCTTAGCGGTTAAGCGCTCGCACTCCGCTGCTGGCGGCCTGGGTTCAGATCCCGGGCGCGCACCGACGCACCGCTTCTCCGGCCACGCTGAGGCCGCGTCCCACATACAGCAACTAGAAGGATGTGCAGCTATGACATACAACTATCTACTGGGGCTTTGGGGGGAAAAAAAATAAATAAATAAAATTATAAAAAAAAAAAGAAGATACTTGTCACAAAGAAATTCCATCTGAAAGTATTAATTTGGGTTTTTGGTTTGCGATTATGTGATGTGAAAAAGGAGAATGAGACCAAATTTCTTCATTTCACTTGCTACAGCCTAATAACTGACTATGGCTATAAATGCCACTCTTTACTGAAAATCAATCTGTGACTAAAAAATGAATTCACTTATGTAACTAAATCAATTTGTTTAACTGACTTGTAACACTTTTTTTAAAATGCTAGACTCCTGATAACCTCTACAAACGGCAAGTTCGGAAGTAGTTTGGAAGCAGATCTTGAATTTATCCTCATGTACTTCTCAAAGCAACAGGCACAGTTTTAAAAATCTAGTCTATGTCAACATTTTCATCAAAACATCACCACCTGAAATACTAATTCACTTCAACAAATACTACTGAGTGCTTACTATAGGCAAGTTACTTGATATGGAAAAATTATATACATAGTAGTGACAATTTGGCAACCAAGTTAGTAAATTACAGAGGTTCTATAAAAAATATACAGACACAGGCTGGATGGACAAAACACAGTTTGAGCTATATTATATTTTAAAATGAACCACTGTCAATCAATAATTACCACATAATATTACCACCTTAGAAAGTGATATTTAAACTGTGTTTTGCAAACAGAGAGAGCCTCAAAGTGCCCTAGAGCCCTGTCCAAAGACAAAGAGAATCAATATTATCTGGGAGCTCATTAGAAATGCAAACTATCAGGACACACTAGTGAAGTGCTGGATCAGAAACTGCACTTGAAGGAGATGCCCAAGTGACTGACACACATGTTACAGTTTGAGGAGCACTGCTCCACAGGCCACCCAGGAGCAAGAAAGCTGCCTAAGCCAAGGCTGCGCCCACTCCAACCATCCTGCATTTCCTCATATTCTCACCTGGGCCAGGCTCGACTTACTTTCCTCTCTTTGATCATGATTTTATGTAAGATTTGTTTTTAACATAAGGTTTCTATTGCCTTTCAAAAGTTTGACAAGCACTAATTTCAGGACATTTACATAGTTTTAGATGTGCATAACAAGACAAACGAGAATGCAGAAAATATTATATCCTTAAACTTAAGTAACTAACTTACTCCATTGCAGAAAGATCCATGTCAACTTCTTCTCCATTCATCAGTGGAATTTTTTTCTTTTTATTCCTACATTTAAGGAAAAGTAAGTTTGAAAATTGTGAGATTTTCAAATCTGAAAGGACATGAGCAGCTAAAGTTCAAATTAGGGACTTTATGCAACACTGAAAGATATCGTAAGGAAAAAGGGACATAAATATAATGGAATTTAAATACAAGAAAATCTGTATTTTGAAGCAGAAGGGAATGAAGTAAATGATACTGAAATGTTTTCTTGATCAAAGTTTAACAAAAAGCAGAAATATATAAATAAATGTCAACTTAAAACATATATATTCCCAAGAACTGGCAGCTGCAGTTTTATATACAAAAGATAAGAGACCTATTAAAAAAGAAATCCTTTACAAAAAAATGAAAAAATAGCCAGGCCTGAAATAAGACATGCATAACTCTGAACTGTGTGCTGTATGTGCAAAGTGCTGCTGTCCTACATGAAATAAAGCAAGTGATTAATAAAACATCTTAATAGTATTAATATGTACAATTAATTACTATGCACAAAACTTCAGCCAAAACAAAAGCAATCGCTTCCATGCAAATTACTCTTGAATCATAAAACCTGCTGGATGACACACTAAAAACCTGGGTGAGGATGAATAAAAACAGAAACAGAGAACAGTTTTCCTGTATTCCTCATATCAAAGAATACTCAAACAATATTCTGTTATTACAGAGGAACAAACCTAAGGAAATGTTAGGAAAAGGGTAGCCATCAGATATTCCCAATTTCAAAGACAGACAGGATACAAAAAAGGGAGATTTCATTCTGAACTAAGGAAGAATTTTCTCAGAGAAAGAATGATTCCAGGGAGAGTTCAGAATCAAGTTCTCTCTGAAGGCCATCAAAATCAACTGACTTTCTCATCCTTAAGATGACCTAAATGTAGTCATGAGTATATGACTTCTGTTCCTGAAGTTGTGATATTACTCCATATTCCTCCAGCAAAGCACAGAAACATTCTAATTTTTCACTCTTTAGAGTACATGCTAATGGCTGAGTTAAAAAACAGTGGTAAAGGAAAAATATATTAATAAAAGTGAACTGCTGGACATGTTTTAAGTAAACTAGCAATTTGCCTTTGAAAGACACTGAGAATGTTCTGTAGGGGCACGGTGGTATAGAGAAAAGGGAGAAAGACACATAGCAAAGATGCAGGGGCTTTTCACGATGTGTGCTCAGCTCCTTCTTTTATATTCATGATCATTTTCTCAATATTTCCTGTAGGCATTAATCCAACAAGACTGAATCTAAGCTATTTGCGTTGAATGGTTCCTGGCTCCATAAAGTTGAACTTGCCTCCCACTGCTCCTACAAAATAAGGATTCTCAAACCCAAATTTTAAAATTAATTATTTAATTCTAAAGATAAACATGTCATCAAGAACAGAAAGCTAAGAATGTTTGGTAATACTAATGGAGTATTAAAAAAAGATACTAGATAATATGTTCTCTACATAAAAAATTAGGTATACCAGGGGATTTTTATTTTGGCATTTTAATCTGTGAGACTTAAAATGTTAGTGTTGTTATAAACTTCGGTATATACTTACAAATCAATGCCTACCTTCTGCTTTTGGAATGGCAGGGTATATCATGTTTAAGGCTGTTTTCTTCGATTTGCAACGTATGATTAAAGGATCCATCTAACTCCTGCACTGTCACTTTAAGTGGTCCCTTTAAAAAGAAACATACTGTTCAAAGATAGTGCTAGAAAAATACCAATATATATTACTATGTGCACAGGTATCTATATCAAGATATAAAATAATATTATACTAATTGCATATCTGAAAGAAAGGCAGCTGGTGCCAAACGAGAGGAGAATTGGGAGAATATGTGTCCCCTCAAATCTCCATTTGTAATCCCTCTTCCCTTCATTGACACTCGTGTTTTCTCAATTTTACTCTTTGTAAACAAAATCTCATTACAAAACTTCTAACTAGTTGCCCACTCTGAAGCCCTTCGGATACTAAAATTGGGGAGAAAGGAGTGCAAAGGTCATTTTGGAAAAAAACTTACCACATATTTCTGAGTTCCGGGAGATGTATAATCTTGTTTTATTTCCAATTCCAAGACATTTCGTTTCCTATTAAATGCAAAACTTCCATAAAATTTTACCACTCCACTCTGGTCTCTGAAGAATCGTAAAGGAATTTTTGCATACTGAAATGAGTGTGTACTAAAAAAAATAAATTATTCATTATGGTAAGTAATAATTTTCAAATTCATCCCCACCAATTCAAAGGTTGAGAGAATACTTCATTGTACACCAGGTGGCAAAATATTCAAAATTCTTGTGAAAATGTTTCTCCAGATTTAAACAAAACTTCTGAAACATTAAATTTGTGTTTTGAAAGAAGCAAAACCACTCGACTGGGTTATTAATATAATAGTGTTCTGAAATGAAAAAATGTAAAAATTGAAAAGTTCCAAGATACCACTCAAGTTGTGCCAACCTCTAACCACATCTGAAAGTCACTAGACCACTGCATCTTACAAGTAATCCTACAGGCCTGTCGGCAGACTATTTACCTCCCCCACCAGCAAGCCTATTTCTGTACTCACACACAAAAAAGTACTTCAAAATATGCCTGATTTTACAAATACAGACGTATGTGTATCTCAGTAATTAGCAGGCACTTCAGAGGAAATGATTTACAGTTCCTGGTTATTTCTACTATTATTTAGCAATTTAAATAGTTCTTACCTCCTTTCATCCCCCAAATCCCTCTTCTATCTCCTTCCCCTTACATACATACCTTAGTCCCTTCCACCTCTTTATTGAACTGCTACTGAAAAGGATACACCCACTGCTTTATTAAAGGCTGGATGTCTTTGCCAGAGACATTTGAGATGGATTTCAAAAACCCAGATGTGGAAACCAACATCTGACTCCACATATGTGACTGGAACTTCTGAGATGAAGCAGTACTAGCCAAGCTTAGCAGTTTATTGAAAACCTGTAAGGATAAAAGTATCATTTAGTAAGTTCATATAACATAATATATATTGCTTTCAATTCTGTGCTATACTCACAAAGCATTATAATTTTATTATACTCAATTATAGAAGACAATAATTTCATATCTTACTACATACATTGTCCTAAAGACTACTAGTAGTAGAAACATGCAAAGACTTAAACAGTCAAAACATAAAACCATTCTTCCTATAAACATAATTGGATTTTAATGATGTACTGGCAAAACAATGAATAGTGTATTTATTAAGAATTATAATAAGAATAATATATAATACCTATAATTTATTGTGCTATGATATTTACACAGAAACTAAGCATTATAAAGTTGAGAATACTTATTAGGATTTATGCCATCCTAAAAAGTTGACTGGCTTTTTATGAACCATCTCTCATTTAATATTTCTGTTCTTTACTCTAAAGGTAACATGAAGGACAGAAGGATTAAAGAAACTTAATTTCAGTACAAACTTAAAATGCTTTTTAAAAAAGATTATTAATAAATTATTTTTCACTCACCTCTAAGAATGTTATCAATGGAAAAAAAAATAGTGGAACATTTATAATACATCTGGTTTCTACTACCTCAACTATTCTGTCTCAACTACTTACACCAAACCTTGCTTAAAATATATGGCAGAATTTAGCAATAGCAAAAATAAACATCTTTTAGATAAGTTTGCTTTTTCCTACTGAAAACATTTCTAAATGGCACTGCATCCTTAATATTCTAAATAATACTGAACACAAAATCATATGCATCAATAGGTTTTACTTTCATCATCGCATTCTAATTTTATCTTCATTGTAATCCTGCAATAGTAGGTTGAGTATTGACATCCATTCTACATCTAAGGAAACACAAACAAAATGTACAGGTACTCAATGGGCAAATGCTAATTAGTAACAGAACTCCAGCTATAAACCCAGATGCCCTAACTCCTATTCTACAGAACAGGATTCAGATTACACACATATAGAACAGATCTTTCTTTACAACTGTTCTAAGTTCTTAACTTTAATACTTACTTGTAGCATAAATTCCATACTGATTCTATTTTCAATCAATCTCATCACAAGATGAGCTTTACACTGAAACATAGTGTAGTATTCCCAGGAGAGTGTGTGTGGATGCTTTATTGAAAAGTGTAGATGGGATGCCGGGCTAAAAAAAAAAAATACAGATTTAATTAATATAACAAATTTAGATATTAAGTAAACAACAAATTTCATTGCTACATCAAGACAGTAAATCAAAAACTTCATGGGAATACCTTAGCAATTTTATGAGAGCAACAAAGACCAGACAACATCTAAAAATAAACTTAACTGGAAGAAAATTTTGAAGTTTTATGAAAGGACATAAAGGAAAAGCTGAATAAATGGAAACACATGCCAAGCTCCCAGACAGGAAGACACAATTCTGTAAATAGTTCAATTCTATCCAAATTCATCAATACAATCAATACAATTCCAATCAAGATCCCAAAGTGAAAGCATGCACAAAAAAACATTCAAGATGGGTTATACATCTAAAATAAAAACAATTAGGGGCCGGCCCAGTGGCACAAGCGGTTAAGTGCACGTGCTCTGCTTCGGCAGCACAGGGTGCACAGGTTCGGATCCTGAGCCCGCACCAGTGCACCGCCTGTCAAGCCATGCTGTGGCAGGGTCCCATATAAAGTAGAGGAAGATGGGTATAGATGTTAACACAGGGCCAATCTTCCTGAGCAAAAAAGAGGAGGATTGGCAACGGACATTAGCTCAGGGCCAATCCTCCTCACTCATACACACAAAAAGATATATTCTTAAAAAAAAAAAAGAAATAAAAACAATTATAAAAGTACTAAAAGAAAATAACAGGAAAAATTTCTTTTCATAATTTTGGAGTGGGAAAAATCTTCCTAAAGAAAAATATAAAATCCAGGGGACATAAAGACCAGACTGGCTATGTAAAAATTAAAAACCTTGACATGATAAAAGAGATCAGTACATTAAAAGGTACAGTCCAGCAGAAAATATTTACAACATATATGAACATTTAAGATGTTTATCATTTTTCACTATTTCAAATAATGCTGTAGTGAATATCTTCTATACATGTACAAGTATTTCTGTATGGCAAATACCTAGAAGTAGAATTTCCATATGATAATATACCTAGACATAGAATTGTTAAATCTAAAAATTATCCATTTTAAATTTTGGTTGGTACCAACAAATTACTCTTCAAAATCAGTGTACCAAATTATACTCTCACAATAAATGTATAAAAGTAATCATTACATCTCCTTAAAAACATGGCATATTGAAATTTAAAATATTTGCCAATTCAATGTTTGAAAAATTACTTTTATATTTCCCTTATTAATTCCAAGCTTATAATTTTTAAGAGCTTAAAAGCTTTAGCAATGGACAGTAATCGGAAAAGGTCAAATAAGTTCCAAGGTATAATGGAATACTATATAGCTCTTAAATGGAACAAAGTAAATTTATGTATAGTCACACAGAATGCTTGCCAAAATATACAGATATGGTTAATTTTTAGAAAAAGAGAGGAACTGGTGGGGGTGAGGGGTTGCAAAAGAGGGCTAAAAAGGATCTTTTACTTTTTTGCTCCACATGCTTCTAAATTGTCTTGTTTGGGACTTCTTCAAAAAACATGTATTCATGTGCTGCTTCCATACATAAGTTTAAAAATTAAACATACAACAAGAACTAAGTAAATGGGCAGAACCAAGGTAAAAGCATTTAATGTAAATAATATTTACATACAATGGGAAGTCTCTATATGCTGGGAAAGTGAAATACAGCAGGCAGTCAGGAGAAGCAGCAAAGGAACTAACATTTATTGTATACTATGTATGAAGCTTTAGCTCAAGTAATCCTCATAACCAACCTGGTTAAGATGGATCATCACTGTCATTTTACACATTAAAACACACACACACACACTCAACACACACACACAGAAAGTTTACACAATTTTCTTAGATCACAAAAATTAATAACAATGAAAATCCAAGTTTATGTAACTCTCAATTCCTACGCTTTCCCACTGGCTTAATCTTGTGTCAGTGACCACGCTACAACGAAGAAAAAGCTATTGGTTATACAACTTCAAGGTTCTAAACCTTTGTTGTGCTTTTAGACACTTGGGCAGTCTAGTTAATTGTATGGTTACCATCTGAGAAACTGCTTTTAAATGTACAAAATAAAATATACTGGATTACAAAGGAAACCAATTATAATGAAATACACTTAATTTTTAATTTTTATTAAAAATATAAAAAATATATCAAAAATATATATATCAAAATATAAAAAAAATGTGCTAGTTTATTAATACATTAAATAATAAGATCTAGCAGTGGTCTACTGTAGTAATTTTGAGGTAGTGATAACTGCAAAGAATATTTCAAGATATCTGCTAACAATTATAATGTGACAAGAAAATATGATGTCATTGTTGACAAAGTCACAGCACTGTCTGTTGCCTACATTCATAATTAAAGGAAATGTAAAATTTCAGTTAATGGTTAGTGAAAAACAGAAAAGTTTTCCACTCCATTCAATCCATACTCCCTTAGGGAATTTGTGGACCCTAGAATAAATAAGAATCCTTGCTAGCACCATTATTTTGTTATAAGCGGCTATCTCATTGATAGTGACTTGCTAAAAAACAGAACGAGAGACTAATGGAAAGAGAGAAGGGAAGGAAGGTAAGAGAGAAAGAAATAAAAGGAAAGAAGGAAAGAGTAATTCAGTATCCAGGTAGGTGACCATTCAGATAAACAGGTGTAGGTAAGATGTCTTGATGCTGAAATTATCTACTTAGACTTAAAAATCAGTAGTAAACAAAATACTTGTTTCCATTATTTTTAAGCTTTTATGGGAATAGTACAATATAGTAGCATTAGAAAATTTAACATGGTAAAGAGAAAGCCTTATATTTTTAAGAGTCTTCTTTTAACATTTAAATCCATTTATAGTCATCATATTCAATAAAAATAGTAAAGTAATGAAAGGAGTAATGAGAATATTACCAGTGTTTGTGGCCTTAGTATTATTACATACTATTATTACTATTCCTTTGGTCTGTGTGGGCCTCAACACACATACAAATGATCCTAAAAGAGTGATCCCACAAAACAAGGTTTGTAATACAATCTCTGAACAATAAACATACTTATCCTTCTCTTTTCCTCCACCAAATATGGGATGTAGTAAAACTCCACCAGTTTTTAGTTCATATGCCACTATTTTGTCCAGTTCCTAAACAAGACATAAAAATAGAAGTCAGTGAAAATTTTTTTATATATCAAATTTTAGAACTGAACTGGGATTTCTCATTTCCTAGAATCAGAATGTAAATGTCTTAAAATAAATAAAATGTGTTAGGAGAGTAGTTTACATCCTTATAAACAAAGCAGGCTACACAGATGGCTGAATGATAAAAGCCAAAACGCATTCTCTACTTTGTGACTTCAGGGCTGGCCAGTAGCCTGGCAACTTTTCCTAATGGCTCTTCCCATCCCCTCTGACCTATGTTCCAAGTTTATTTCTTCTTTCTCTGTATTTTGCTTCTGGTGGAGGATTTAGGCAAGTAAAAAGAAAGAGAGATAAAATTATGTCATGAATCTATCATTTTAAAACTTCTCCAGTCTTCTCTAATATGACGTAGATCAAAGTGAAAAAAAAAAGTTTCACTGAAAAAAAGACAACACAACTGTGTTGGAAACTCATGACTAGTCTAAATAACATACAAGCAGAGGAGACAAGTCAAGATGGTGGCATAGGCGGACTCTGAATTCACCTCCTCCCACGGATATAGCCCATTTACAACTACTCTTGAAAAAACTACGCCTGAGAGAGAACTGAAGACTGGATAGGAGGAACACATGCAACAAACGACCATCCTAATTGAGGTGGAAGAGGCAGAAATTCCCTTCTGGAGAGGAAAACACCACCTTCACAAGCCACAGTGCTTCACGGCCGCCCAGGAGCAGCCCAATGGTATGCAGCCTTCCATGGAGCGGGGGGGAGCTGAGCCGGGGAGCGCTCCCGCTATAGGCATTTCATCACTGAGGAACGTGGATGCAAAAATCCTCAACAAAATACTAGCAAATCGCATACAACAATACATTAAAAATATTATACACCAAGATCAGGTGGGATTTATTCCAGGGATGCAGGGATGGTTCAACATTCGCAAATCAATCGTGATACAC